AGCAGGAAAAAGAGTGTTTCAGGACTGTGGCGGCAGGAGGCTTCCCCGTTCCAGTTCAGCAGAAACATTTTGGCGCCGTCTGTGGGGAGCGAGCGGCATCCCCATGAAATCACAAAAAACCAGAGATTGAAGACACCCAATGGTAACCACAAGAAATATGGAGGAGCAGAGTACTAGAGATTTAATAAGAGAGTTGCAGGCCCAGATTGAGGCATAGGCGCATATTATACAAGCGCAGGCACACACTCAGCAAGAGATGCGGCGGAAGCATGAGGGGGAGATGAGGGCACTAAGGGCCGAACGGGATCCTCCCGAGCGGTCCGCCTCGAATCGGGAAAACGCCAATGAGGCAAGCCACAATCATGTCAGTCCGAACGGTCGGGCTAAAAGGGAACTGACACCCTTGCAGGTCGCCCGACCAACCAGTCTATTGCCTTTCACGATAACGATCATGCAGACGCCAATGCCTGAAAGGGCTCCCCCCGTATTAGATAAGTATGATGGTTCGGCTGATCCGGACAACCATTTAAGAACGTTCAGCAATTCAATGGCATTCTATACAGACAGTGACCCTATCATGTGTAGGGCATTCTCATTGCCACTAAAGGAAGAGGCCTTGGAATGGTACCATACTCTTCCTCCCAACTCAGTGGATTGCTTCGCTACTGTGGAAGACCTCTTTAGGAGACAATATGCGTCCAATCGAAAACAGGAGATAACACCAGTGGATTTAATAAACACTAAGCAGGAGAAAGGAGAAACTTTGAAGGCCTTTATGAAGAGATATACTGAAACCGCGCGACGAGTTAGAGAGGTAGATCAATCTTTTATTATTAATAATCTGCCTTCGTGTATGAGACCAGGATATTTTGCGGAGAAATTGTATGCACGGCCGCCAAAAACGATGGAGGAACTCCAAGACCGAACAGCTGAATTCATCCGAATGGAGGAAATGTGTTTGTCGCAGAAGAAGCGACAGCAAGAAGGAGATACAGGCGGAAGTGGAAAGGACGGCAAACGACCGTTCGGCAATAACGACAAGAATAGAGAGTGTCCCAGGCCAGTCAAATTTCACCATTATACGACACTCAATGCACCCAGAGCAAAGGTCCTTGAAGAAGCCTTTAGAGCGGAACTTATCACACCTTTAAGGAAGTCTTCTCCAAGAAATGCAGACGAGAGAAGAAGTTGCCGGTATCACCAAAACCATGGACATAATACAGAAGACTGCATCACGTTAAAAAATGAAATAGAGAATCTTATCAGGGCAGGACATCTACGAAGGTATATAAAGGAAGCAAGATACGACCCCCCTAAGGAGGGATATTCGAGAAGGAACCCCGACCGGTCGAGCAGGAAAGACGAACGACGGCATGGCTATAGTCGCAGTCCCAGTCGTAGTCGGGAACAGTCGCTTCGTGGAGTGATTAACTAAAAAGAAGTATCAACAATTTTACTATTGTCATGTTTAAATTCGATCTCATTTGATCCATGCTTTTGTTATTAACTTACGTTCTTATAAGAACCTAATTGAGGACGATCAATTGCTCCCGAAGAGGCTAAATAAAATCATATTCAAAGAAAGTTGATAAGAGGTAAATTCCTCTATAAATATTTGAAGACCGAACGGTAAATCCCGCTCGGATAAGAGGTAAACTCCTTTATAAATATTTGAAGACCGACGGTAAATCCCGCTCGGTAAACTCTAAGACTATAGAGCGGACACTCCCTCTATCTCACCATCACATTGTCCTTCTCTATTTGAGCATTGAAACCAATGCTTTGAAGTTAGGGCTAGAATACCAGTTCAAAGCTCCATACGTTATACAGAACAATCATCACCCCCACACATCACTTTCAGCACTCTCCCCGAGATGTCCTCTTCATATCATTACTTTTCACATCATCATACAACATCAACAGGTCATTAAAAACACTCATAATTACATACTTCACAAAACCATCACGTAATTAACCACAACATTCTTTCGGACTAATGTTCAATACTAAGTCATTCAAACAGCTTGGAGACCCTCCCAATGGATCCGGAAGGGTCAAAAACCCCCAGAACGAACTAAAGAACGTCCAAAACGGACATCCAGAAACCCCGAAAACCACCCAAAACTGTCCGAATTGATTTTCCGAGACAATAATCGATTATCAATGTGATAATCGATATTGGCGAGAGTTTTGAGGGGTACAACTCTCTGACTAAATAATCGATTATTCAAGTGAGATAATCGATTTTATTCTTATCAGTTTTTGGCTCAACGTGATTTTCTGGTTTTGGTGCATCTGATAGACATATCCAAATGACAAATTAAAATCTGTTGTAATCTAAATTGATATGAAAACATGTTTATAGATGAAAGTAAGCCTGGCATGAGTCATGGGATAGGATAAGAATTAGATGTACTAAACCAACTCAATTTCTACTCCAAAACATCTAACTCAATAACTAGAGGACCCCAAACCCAATTTTTTTATTAACTCAGGACCCAATTTCAATCCTACCATGTTGCTAATGGCTTTGCTCCTCAATTTATGATCCTAACCAGTCTAATAGAATCATATCAGCCAGCCCCCACTGTACAATTTTCACTCAAGAATCCTGCTCAAATACTATACCTCAGATCCTCTCAAAAGGATAAAACTTACTCTCGTAACCCTTACTCTTCTCGCAAGACAACTCTCACTTTCATCCAACCACTTTTTACTACCCAGTTGGTCAACGGCGAAGAGAATCAGACGTCTGAACGGCAAATCAGTCCTTCCCTCGAACGCCAACACATTGACTAGTCACAAGTAATGGACCAGGCCAGGGCGCTCAATGATCAGGGATGTGCCAACTCAGGTTTTAAGATTCTCTATCCTACCCACACATAGTACTCTGAACAGGTCCAATTCAGTAACTAAGTTATCCAAACGCCCTATAGTGTTTTAGACTTCCCTTGCCCCATTCCCTATCTCACTTCCCTTTACCGTAAGCTAACACAGTACCTGCACACCTTTATATTCACCCCAAGAACAACATTAGATACTCCAGTCCTATTCCAACAACAGTCAATACAAACCAACAAATTATATCCAGGTAAATCAACATCAGTACAAACATGATCACACATTTCTTCATTTTCAACCCAACACAATTTAAACATGTTAAGCAACAAAACAAACAAACAGTAGAAAAAGCAAAATAATCAGACAAGCATATCATACATCATCTAAAATTGTACTAGCTCCCCTTACCTTGAAGTTTGAGCAGTACAACCAGCTATAGTGCCCTAACAGTGCCTTCACAGTGAAGACCCAAACAGTGCCCTACAACCACCTAAATGGTAAGGAAAACAGCTCTTAGAGCTAGAATAGACAGAGAATGAAATAAAAGAGCACCACTAGTTGCATAGAACCAATAAAGTTGCATGCCCTAGGGTCAAGAAAAGGGAAAAATTGACTTACCCGCTCAAATGGAAATTTAATCGGATGGAGGGGAAGCTCTCAATCCGTGAGCGAAAGGACACCACCTATTCGAAATTTCAACGGTGGGAAAGTGGTGGAAAGGTAGAGAGAAGTCAGAGCAAGAAGAAGAAAGAAATGAAGATGAGTCTAGAGAGAGAAAGGGAGACTGAAATTAGTTCAGAGTTGGAGAATGAAGGGACTCCTTCTAAGTTTCAGGGTGCCTTTGGCCTTGTGGGCCTGGATTGTTATTGCCTCAAGAAAATCGGGCCCCTTTTTTATATTTAAGCCAAAAAATCTCAGGACCTACATTTTTGATATCTTTTTAAAAGTCTTACATCGTGATTAATTGTTTGAAATATTTGCTTTTTTAAAATAATTCAAAAACCAATAACATATAAGGTAAAACAATTTCAAAAAATTATAAAAAGCTTATTAACATATTAGAGTTAATTAAATGAAAAAGTGGTTGTGTATTGCGCCAGGGTGTTAGTATTGGCGTAGTCCAATGAATGCGAAAAGGGAAGGAGAAACAACGACCTATGTGGTTTTATGGTGATAACAGTGACATGCATAGATGAGTAACTTCTCACACATTGTTATAAAAAAAGGTGATATGTACTTCCATCTATAAATGACATCATCGGATCTAAAACAAAAATTTTGTAATGTAATGGACCTTAATGGGTTACTGGCTTCCCTCGATTCTTCTTTGAAGAGAAACATGGAAATAACCTGAAGGTGACAGCAATTGTAACTTTTTAAGAAAAATTTAGGTATTGAAAAATTTGGTAAAATTTAGGACTCAAAATACCCACATAAAAGGAAAAAGGGGTGTTTGGAATCATACAAGAATATTCACTCCCCCTTGATTGTTGTGAACAGATGAAGGAGTTGGGGTTGCAACGTTGCAAAACCTCCGCTTCACTTCTTTTGTGGATTTCTGGGGATGTCGCTCGCTCCCACAGACGGCGCCAAAAAGTTTCTGCTGAACTGGAACGGGGAAGCCTCCTGCCGCCACAGTCCTGAAACACTCTTTTTCCTGCTGTTGATGGCTCCTTCCCTCGCCTTTGTGCTCCTCCTCCGGTTGTCGGTGTCAGTGAAATGGGGGGTGGACCTACAATGAAAACTCCAACGCTCAAGTCAGAATGGGTTTTTTCCCGTCTATCATTCTTATCAGAATAGATGCATACCTTCTCTTATTTATCTGATTTTAGGGAATATTCCCTCATCCTGCATAGTCCACTCAGAAGGTAATGAAATGATGGTGTTTAGTAATGGCTGGCGCACTAGAGGTGGAGGGACCCACCACTCGTAGCTGCTACCCCTTTAGGTGAACGGGAGACCCCTCCACTTTCTCCTTCAATTATTTGCCAATCACTCATGGGAGGATTCGATCTTCATAGTTGTTTATCGAGGCTGATCGGTGAAGACTTGTCGAGACGAGCGGACGGCTTGTCGAGGACCGACCGCGTAAGGCCCTGTCGAGAGCCGAGCGGGGAGAGAACTCTGTCGACCGACCACGGAGGACGACCGACCGCGGAGAGCTTTGTCGAGGAGAACCAAGATTTGTCGAGACCCAAATTAGACGACCAGGAGGGACTGACCACCGCGGAGAGCTTTGTCGAGACCCAAGCTTTGTCGAGACCCATAGTAGACCGACCACGGAGGACAACCGACCGCGGAGAGCTTTGTCGAGACCGAGCGGAAAGGCTGTCGAGGTCGACCGCGAGATCATGTCGAGACCCAAAGCTTTGTCGAGGACCCATAGTAACATAAGCCCCCCAAGTCTGAGTTAATCGTTTGGTTTTTAGCCGAACGGTTAACTATAAGACTTATGAGTTTGAGGTTTGTTCCCCTTGTTTTAAAGAGTTTGATCTTGGTGCTTCAATTTAGAATTTTACCTCTTATCCGAGCAGAATTCGTCGTTCGGTCTTCAAATATTTATAGAGAGTTTACCTCTTATCCGAGCGGGGGATACCGTCGGTCTTCAAATATT